GAACAAATACAGAGACCTTTCGCCAGACATTATGTAGAGAATGGGAGACCTTGAAACACACAACCCATTCCTTTTTTTCAATTTCAATGTGTTAGTTTTGTTTTACCTCTTATATCATCTCATATCCCATCGTATCATTGTCCATGAGCAGTCTGTTTGCTCTCTAATGAGATACAGAAAGATAGTGGATCCTGATGAGAGGGGAAGAGGGGAGGGAGAGACAAAGGGGAAACTGTAACCAGGATATTTAATGTGAGAGAAGGAATCTATTTTCCAATAATAGGAAATAGTTATAAATTAAATCAGATAAAAAGAAAAAGATAAGATCTTTCTCTCACTGAATGTGGTTATATTCAGACTTTATGATTGATACTACTAGAGCGCCCTTGTGAGATCTGCCATCTAGCCTTTGGTGTCAGTGGCTTTCTGGGTAGTGGAAGCCAAAGGCAAAGAGACCAGCTGTTCATCACCAAACACAGCTCCCATTCCTGTGGACACCTGGCAACAAATGTGCTAATGTTTTAGCGATTGTCCTTTCTCTTTGATTTTGGTCTCTTGAGACACAATTCCCCTGTTATTTGAGACGCCACCTCACTGTGCATCCCACACGAGCCTACGACTCACGATGTAGCTCAGGCTGACCCTTAACCGTGTGTTCCAGCTCAGCCTCGAGTGCTGGCATTACAGGTCTTTTAAGACACTTCAAGTAGGGATTGCTTTTCTATGCTTCAGAAACATTTCTAATCAGTGCACTGTGGGTGTATACTATTAAACAAACATTAACTAGAATTATTATGTGAAGTATGCTATCATGTGATATATAAAAAGGAGCTATAGAAATGATATTAATTAGATATAGATACAGCTATGGAAGAAGAGGTGAATAGTATAATGAAAAACCTAAAAAGAAACAATAAAAAAACTTAAAAAAATGAGCAAAGGGTCTAAAGAGAGAACTTGAATCAAGCACAGCACATAATCTTGGACAAGGTACCTGATCTCCTTAAGTCTTAATTTTCTTATCTAAAAATGGAATTTAATGATGCCAACATTTTCCAAGGACTAAATATAGTAATGCATTAAATAAGTTAAGTGATAAAATAATAACCAACATGTTATAAGAAATGTATTAAATAAAAATATTAATATAAATTAGATAGAAATGTGAGGAAAAAAGTTAAGATTGGTTAGGAAAAAATTTCATGCCTTTCTGGCTTTATAAACTTTACAAAAATAAACACATATTATGACTACAATTAGAAAATTTTGTGCCGTATCTTTCAAATTTTAAAGAACTATTTTCATATTTTGGCAAATTTCCCATTAAACCTTAGAAAAACAGTGGCGGGAGGAAGAGGAAGCCCAGTCAAATGCATGCTATTCCTCAGCTAGTCATAGATTTCACAGCCTGCAGATTTTCCTGTCTCATTTCCCTTTCCCTAACACAAGTTTTAATCCCCCTGTAATCTTTCTAGTTATTCTTGAGGGGTCTTATTGAAAGACTGCTGGGACAGGGATTGGTAAGGGAGGAGGGATTGATATCGGTAAGACCGAGAGGTGAGGGCGCTGGGGGAAAGAACAATCAAAATGCATTCATACAAGGATTTTATCATCAAAGAACCAAGTGAATTAATCCAATGATTATTAATCTTGTGCATCCTTGCCAATAAATAAGGCAGTTATTACTCAAACTTCCTTTTTATAGACAAAATGAAAGTAGGATGACAAAATGATTCAATGATTTATCCCTCTCATCACATACACGCATACACACACATGCACACACACATACACACATGTATGCACACACAAAAACACACACATGCACACATGCACACACGCACGCATACATTTAGAATCCATCTAAATGCAGCCTCCCATAGCGTATACATGGCCATTCTTTTCCAGAAATCCCTAAACACAGTTTATTTTACTTTCTTAGCAAATCTTCAAATGATTATTTTAATTTAGAACTTTTTTCAACGTTGTTAAGTATGGCGGTTGTGTGCCTGTAATACCAGCACTTGGAAGGGTGATTCAGGAAGTCTACCACAAATTCAAGATCATTCTAGACTACATAGAGAGTGCCAGCCCAGGTTGGGCTACAAACAGAGATCCAGTCTCAATCAGTCAACCACTCACTCATTCAATCAATCTTTCTTTTTTTTTTTTTCAATCTGCCCATATAGTTAGAGAGCCTTCATGTTCCCACCTCCGTTAGCACTAGGTACTGTGTAGGTGTCTTTTCTGCAAGGAACTGGAGTGGCGGGAAGGGTAGGAAAGGAAATGTGGTAAGTCCTGGAGGGCATAGCTCTTCTGAGTGTGCAGCCCAACACCTCTCCCGCACACCTTGACCAAGGCTTCTGTCTGCTGGTGTTTCCCCTCTGAGCACTGGTTATGACCAGGAGTTTCAGATCCTGATGCTGTGACCGCGATACGAACAATCTACACTAGGGTCTGCCTCAGCATCTCCGTGTTCAGCAGATTATTGCTACTGCATCCAAGGATGCTCTGTGCCAGACTGAGAGGGGCAAGCAGAACAGTATGGAAGAAAACTTGGGGAAGGCTCTTTTCTGTTAGATTTTAGTCTTCTTTCCTGGAAAGAGCTACAATATGTGGGGTCTGTGTTTAGGTAATATTGGACACACTTGTATCTGTTTTACTTATTTAGCAAACATCTGTAGGGCACCATGCTCATTCTTTTCAAATGGAGAATCCCATCTCAGTCTCAGGCCCACACCGAGACAGGCATGTTAGATGCAAATGGTATGAGGCATCCCAATCCAGGCAGAGCTCTGTGCCCTGTGGGGAGCAGAGGGCTCTGACTCTGGTCTGTCCTGGTTAGCTGGGTTGTGTGGAACACTGTCCTGGAGAGGCGAGCCTCTAAAACAGGGAATTCATTTTCCCTTTCCCCACTCTTACTGTGTCTTTGTGGGAGAGGTTTAAGCCAACATTACTCTTAAAACCTCTGTACCCTGATCTGAATCTAAGTTTTCTAAAACTTATGACTGAAAATGATGCAGGCGCTAAACTGAAAGATTATGAAATTCTCCATCATGAGAAAGACGTGTCGGTATTTCCAGGAAAGATGAGCCAACACCCAAGAGACCTGAAGCAAAGGGAATGGGAATTTAGGGGTGATTTGTTTTCTATGTCACCCACATCAGGGTTTTCTGCTCCAAGGATAGAGGGCCTGTATGCTGAGTACCCATAGGTGCTGCAGCTGAGTACCCACTAGGTGCTGCATGCTGAGTACCCCTAGGTGCTCTATACTGAGTACCCACTAGGTGCTGGGTTCTGAGTACCCCCTAGGTGCTGCAGCTGAGTACCTACTAGGTGCTGCATGCTGAGTACCCACTCCCCACTGTGTCCATGGGTTCAGTTTTCCAAAGAGGCTAAGGAGGTGAGCACTGCGGTGCAGCCTGCCCCCCCTGCCCCTCCAAAGCCTAAGCTTGGGCAATGGTCCCGAACACTAAGATCACATCTGAAGCCCTTGTGTTAGGAAAAGCAGATCTTTGGGCAATTTCAGATTCAGAAGTTCTAACCCCACAGAGGGAAAGAGGAAATTAAGCAGGATTCATAATCAACTGTGGATGCTTATCTCTGTTTCCACTAAGTTGAAAAAATGCTGTAAATGCATTTTATTCCCTATGTTGGAATGCCTTGTTCAGCCTTGGTGCAGGGGGAGGAGCTTGGTCCTGCCTGGACATGATATGCCATGCATTGCTGATTCCCACGGGAGGCCTTACCCCATCTGAATGGAGACAGAGTAGGAGTGGATGGGGAAGGGGAGCAGAGGGAGTCGGGGGAGGGAACAGGAGGAGAGGAGAGAGGGGAAATTGAGATTGGAATGTAAAATAAATAAAAATAATGAATAATAGAAAAAATATAAAAGTATATTTGAAAAGATGAAACGGTGAAGCAAAGAAAGCGTCAGGGCTGGCTGAGTTTTTAATAGAACTGATTTCAGAAGTGTATGAAGTTTGCACAATTAAAAAGATATGGAAAGGCAAGATATCATAGGGTCCTGTGTCTCCATGCAAATTGCAGTTTAATTCACAATAGGTAAGATGTGGAAACAGCTCGGTGCCTATGAACAAAGGAGCAGCTAAGGAAAACGTGGTGTGTTTACACAGGGGGGTTCTATTCTGACCCAAAGAACGAAATACTGCAGAACACGCCAAGGGAAGACAGTCAGTTTCAGGAAGACAATTAGCACATGTTTTCTCCCATATGAGAATCTAGATCTCTGTATGTATGTATATAGGACATAAAGAGGGAAATAAGGAACCAACTGGAAGCAGGGAGGGTGGGGGACAGCAATAGCGGAGGGCAGGGAGGTGGTGACTATGAGGGAAGACGATGGGGTGTGTGTGTGTGTGTAGATGTGAAAACGTCAAACTAAAGCGAATCACTGGGGGTCCACTAAGGTTTTGGCTTTAGAACTTCACCTTAAAAACAACTAAGGACAGAGACAGAAAGCGTGTATGCAAAAGATAAACTGGTAAAACGCTCGGTTCTTCCAGTTCTTCCTGAACAGCAAATCCTTTAGCCCCAAATTCTCACATAGCTGTTTTTCTCTATTGGCCTCCCGCCACCCAGTGGCGAATTTATTTCTACCTTCAACCTCATCTCTTCCCTCCCTCCACCTCCAAGGCTTCAGTCCCCACACAAAGGTCACATCGCAGGGGGTCACTCCAGCGCCGGCAATACTGTCCTTTGCTGGGGGTTGGGGCTGGGGGATTGAGGCTGAACTCCATCCCACGCTGCACAGTGGGCAAGCAGTATCCGGGACCTGAGGGAGAAGTTAGTATAGTAGCACGCGCGTGTCCCCAACACACTCATCCCACGAGCTCAGGGGTGTGGCCCTATCTTTGTTCTGACACAGAGACCTGAAGCTCCAGGAATTTCCCCAGCCCTGGGCTGGGGCTTTTCCTGCCACCATGCATAAAAGGGGCTTGCAGGGCCCTGGAGTCCCAGACCGCACCACAGTGCCTCCAGCCAGCTCCTGCACTCCAGACCCCAGCCACACTCCTGCTCAGCGCCATGGCCCCAGCCACACGTCCTCTCCTGAGTGCAGCGCTGCTGTTGCTGCTGTTGCTGGCCACCAGCCACCAGGCTACAGGTGGGTTCCGCGCTGCCATCCCTGGAGGAGCCTCGGGTGGGCGCAGCCTCCCACAGCCCTACTGACAAAGTGTCTTTTCTCACAGGGACAATAGTGGCCAGTGAGCTGCGCTGTCAGTGCATGACAACCATACCAAGGATTGCTTGGGAGGAAATCCAGAGCTTGAAGGTGAAGCTCTCAGGACCCCACTGCGCCCAGACAGAAGTCATGTGAGTGTCTCCCCAGGCCTTCTCTGCCTCTGCCAGAGTTGCTCAAACCCTCCTGCTGCCCCATGCTCACTCCAATGGGACCTCACAGCTTAGAAGGCCCCCCTTTCTCTCTGCAGAGCCACTCTCAAGGACGGTAAAGAAGTTTGTCTGGATCCCGAAGGCCCTAGGCTTCAGAAGATCATCCAAAAGATCCTAAAGAGGTGAGTAATGCTTTGTTTGCTCTCTGTGGGCCTCATCCTCTGTGGCCTCTGACTCCTGAAAACCACCTCAGGGAAAGTCACTGAACTACGAAAGTGATGATTATTTTTACAATTCTAATAATCCTTCTGATAATTAATTAGTGTACTGTGGTGCTGGAAGGGTTTTTCCGGGATCCTGTATCCCCACCTGGAGCTTGTCTCCATTGAACAAGAGTAGGTAATACAGCTTTTTAAAAGTTTTCATTTGTCTTGGCCTCCCAATATGTATGTAACTATGTATGTATATAGATAAATAGATAGATAAAGATATAGATATGCCCAAACCTGTTATCCATCTATTTCAGTAAAATTTAGCTTGAGACTTAATAAAAGTGAGAACCAAGAGTCCTTCATGAGCTGAGACCTGGTGTGACAGACAAAGTGCCGCACTTTAGCTTTTTGAGACCAGAGGTCCCCGCTCCCCTCCATCCTGAAGGAGTGCATCTACCAGGGCTAGGTGTGTGCTCTATGGCACAGCCGCAACACGCGGAGAACACTGGGGCCAGGCTGTACTCAGAAAACCCAGGAGAAAGAAGACAGCTGTACACTTAATAAAGACGTTCGTTTTCTTATGACAGCGCCAGGTCCAGCTGAGCCAGAAAAGGATGGAGGACCTGCATCCTTCAGAGCAAAGAGGAAAGGAACGACCCTGCCCGCAGCCATCGAGATGAGGCTTCTCCTGCTTGCTCTGAACAACTCCTGAAAGTCCATATTTATTGATTTTCCCCAAATTCTATGCTAACATTTTACATATAAAATAACTAAGGGTATACTTGGATCTACTTGCAAGATGTCATAATATTTACTGTTTATTTAATATGAAGTCTGAATTTAATCAGTCCCCATTCTTAATTTGAAGATTTTTCAGATTCTCTCAGGAAATTGCATTAATATTTCCGAGGCAACCATTCCAGGCTGACCATTGTGATGGTAGCCGGGGTAGTCAACAGGTAAAGGAAGCCATTCCAATGTAGGGAATGCATGTGCAATCTACTTTTGTACCGATAAAGGCTTGTCAGTTGTTATTTATTGAAATGGTTTCACAGTGTTACAATGAATAATCAACTTTGTGTTGAAGCTTTAAGAATTGTAATATTCTATATATTCCTTAGTCATTTTAAGTGATTTCTATAAGTCATAATGCCTATTTAATGTTTCTATGTCTTATAACAGAGAAGTTTAAATATTTATTGGTATTTTTACAAAGAAAATAAAGTATTTAAAAATAACGCTTGTTTTGTTTCTTGGAGGGCTATTGCTAAAGGTTAATCCAATGATTTACATCAGTGTTTCTCAAGTTTTCTTCCTGCTCCCCAAGCATTCAGTTGGCTACAAAAATGAGTCACTCCATAAGCCATGCCTCTTTTCCCTTGCTGGTGTCTCTCATTTCCCACCCAAGAATGTACTTTTTCTAGGACTGACTCCTAGGAGGCTCCCTACCTTCTCAATTCTAGTTTCAGGACACGGGATGCTCTCTTTTGGCCACCAAAGGCACTAGGAACTCACAGGGTACACAAGCATATATGCAAGCTAAACTTAATCCAAATAAAATACATTTTTTTTAAAAAAAGAAAAGACAGTTCCTTACTACCTTGCCACCAAGTTTGTCTATTAAAAGATGTACATCATTGTAGTCAGCTAAAGGACCTAATTCCATTGCTTTTGGCAAGTAACTTTTCTTTCTTTCTTAAACTTTATTTATTTTATTGACTGATTTATTTTACACCCAGACTGCAGCCTCCCTGCCCTCTTTTCCTCCCACTCGCTCCCAACTCCCCTCCATCCCCCCCTCAACCCACCCTTCCTCTATATCTGCTCAGGAAGGGGCAGGCCTCCCATAGGCGTCAGCAAAGCATGACATGTCAAGATGCCATAAGACCAAGCTCCTCATTTTGTATTCAGGTTGGGCAAGGCAATCCAGCACTAAGAACAGATTTCTAAGAGCCAGAAACAGTCCCTGATCCTATTGCCAGGAGTCCCAGAACTGTCACATATATGCCAGGTTGGTTCCAAGCAGGCTCCCTGGTTGTTGTTTCAGACTCCCTGGTTGTTGTTTGAGTGTCCATGAGCCAGGCTAGCCATTTCTGTAGGTTTTGCTGTGGTGTTCCTTATCCCCCTGGCTCTTATAACTCTTCCTCTCTCTCTTAAAGATTTAAATGTCCTTGTTGGTAGAATTCCCTGAGCTCAGTCCAATATTTGGCCGAGGGTCTTTGAATCCGCCCCCATCAGTCACTGGATAAAGGCTCTCCAATTACAATCATGGTTGTTACCAACCTGATGGCAGGGGTTAGCCAGTTCAGGCTCTGCATCTACTGCCAGGGGTGCTAAATAATGTTTCTAACAACTGTTGACAATTTAATGAAGCTAACAGTGAGATGGTGGCAAACTTGTTATTTTTTCCCTTTGAAACTCAGTTGTTTCACCAGAAGTAGGACTAATAAGCGGCTGAGTGTAGACGGAGGATGCTTGTTTGTTTCCCCGGCCACCCAGACCTCAAATAATCACACAGAAACTATATTAATTACAACACTGTTTGGCCTATTAGCTCGGGTTTCTTATTAACTAACTCTTACATCTTAAATTAGCCCATTTCTATTATTTTGTATTTTACCACAAGACTTGTGGTTTACCAGTAAGGTTCTGGCTGGCGGCTCCTTGATTCCACCTACTTTCTCCTCTATCTCTGCTGGGAATTTCTGCCTTGTTCTATTTTGCCCTGCCTTAGGACAAAAGCAACTTCTTTACTAACCAGTGGTAATAAAACATACTCACAGCATACAGAGGGGAGTCACACATAAACTGAGGACTTCACTATTCAAAAGGGTCTGAGATTTGGGTTCAATACTCCACCTTATCATGTGCAAAAGTATTAGCCATCTTAATGTTCTAATTCTTTATATCAATACATAAAATATATATAACACAAAAATATATAAAATATATGTATTTTATAAATATAAATTAAAATATATTTATATTTTATATTAAAATATAAATACATTATATATATATATACACATACATACATACACTGGGCTTGACTGTGTTGTTTCTCACCCTTCTTAGTGACATTTTCATAGACCTTGAAAGAAAGCCCTTGAATAACTTCTGTACAATGCTGCCCAGGATGGGAACTACATTCCAATTTCTATGGATAAAATGGTGTGAAAAAGAAAACAGCTCAGTAATCTAAAGTGAAACTCCAAGACTAGAAATGGGAGTCTTTTCTGCATACAACTGTGAAGTACATGATGGTTTCCTATTTAGAGACTTAGAACTCATTAAGAAATCCCAAATTTGGGTGAATGTCTCTCACAGAGGCAAGAAGTTAGCACTGGCAGCCTGAGTATTTGAAAAATTTCCCCCTTGTTCCAAGCTGAATAAATAGGTCCATGAGTAGCAGGAAATAAGTTCTGTGGGTTCATCCCTGCTGCATACCTAAAGGTTGAAAGTTAGTCTAACTTCTTATCTTCTGGATTATTAGTTAGAAATGATTCAGGAAGAAAGAAAGTTTGTAAACTACACAAAAATGAATGCACTGAAACCTGTCTCAAAGCTCAGTGTTAGCATTCCCTCCCTAACTCCAACTGACTGGGCCCTGGAAAATGTCTAGAGGAAGCAACCCAGGGCTCAGGAAAGCTATAATTCATACGTACGGCCCTCCAACATTGGGCCTTGCTCTTTAGGCTTCAATGTCCTTATCAGTAGTAAACACAGGACACAAGAAGGATAGAAGACATCCTTATGGTAGATAACACCATGTTTCAAAGTAGCAGACTGGTTTTGGAGTCAGTTACAGTTCTATTATAATCTTGGGCAACTTTCTTGACTTCAATCAGTTTAACTTCCCTTCCTAAATAGAATGCAGAAAGAACAAGAATGTGTCTTCTGAAGTAAGGAGGAGATTAAATATTAATGGCTCAGAACTATGATTATTTGCTATTGTTCATAAGCCCAGTTTTAAGGATATGTTTCAGTTTCCAATGAAATGGATACGAAAAATGCAGTTTCCCAATCCATTTACCCCGAGACTTAGAAACTGCCATACTCTCCCTTCAGGGATGCTGTGATGATTAAGAAGTGGGGCACAGGACATGTGAGGTGGTAGTCACTGGCTGAAGGTAACAGGAAATGGAAATGCTGTAACAGCACAATTTCATGAGCCTGGCTACTAGAAACACCAATGATCACACGGTTGGGGCTCCTGATTAGGCCTCTAAGAGAGATAGTGAGAGGAAGAAAGATGATGACATTGCCCTGTCCTTAGGAGCTCTCTTTTGGCAGAGCTTCAGAAGTATCGTTCTGGGACTCCCAGAAGTAACCAAAGAACACTAGGGATGGTAGAGGTGAAAGATCACAATAGTACAATCCAGTAGAATAAATAATCGTACAAAGAATAAGAAAGACAAAGAACCAGTCTAGTAAACATCATCCATGTTCCCTCACCCACCAACTTCTCAGCTTAATGCCTCTGCCCTCCTGCCTGATGATCCTTTATTTGAAGGAAAAGTAGGCATGGCAGACGGTTTACTGAACCAGAAAATCCGGAATACAAGGCCTTCAAGAGCATCCTTCAACCTCCAGGGGCAGGTAGTAGTTAGTACATAAAGACTGCATTATTTCTAGCCTTATGGTGTGTAGTTTCCTGAAGGATTTGATTGTTTACTTTTACTCATACATGACTTGAATGGAGGGACCATTGTGAAGAATATATTACAAGTTTTCCGTGTACACAAACAAGAGGCTTAGTTGTCACCTCTTCATTATGATGTCCACTGCCTTTCACTCTCCTTTCCCTCAAGGGCTGCTTTCTCTCCCTTGTTCATCCAGTGATATAAATATTTGTATCTGATTTTGCTTGCAAAAGACACCTAATTTGAATACTTGGACTTCCCAGAAATTAGACTTCAAGGTTAAGACTTGTGCATTGTTGTTTTATTAATGAGTCGACTACCCAAGAATTAAGGGTTAGAGTGGGGAGCAAACATGCAGTGAGTCAGGGAAACTACAAAATCTGGCAGGAGATGCACATTGTAGTATGGCCAACATCATGAGGGTGAAACAGCAGTCCACGGCTGGTTTCAGCTGAGCCGTAGGTCTCTTGGGGTGTTACATTCTTATCCTGCAGAAACTGAAACACACTTAAACCAAGAAATAAAAGCTGCTGTCATTTACATTAAGTTCATAGGTTCTCCAAGGAGCCAGATATTAGTCTTTGGCTACTTTTTTTCCTTCCTTCCTTCCTTCCTTCCTTCCTTCCTTCCTTCCTTCCTTCCTTCCTTCCT